CGGCTAGTTTTCTTAATCATCTTGCCGCGAAACTCGGCGCGTTGTGCGGGCCCTCCTCCACTAGCAACGCTGGATCCCATTCCGCATGGGCGCGACAAGATACATACCGACCGCTTTAGTCCTCTTCCTAATACTCCTTACACTGCAGCCGCCCCCCGCTACTCGCGGGCAGACATTCAACGACATTCGTTACAAGGGCGTGGGGTTACAGACATGCGTACCTTCCGCGAAAGTTCGCTGCAACAGGCCGTGCAACTCGACGGCGGGGACGGACGGCCGGTATCTGGTGCCCATCCGGTGCACGGCGGCGACGAGCCTGCGACGCGTGACGACGCCGTATTGTGCGAGCAATGCGATCACGCGGGTGCAGTGCTGCCTCAAATGCGTGAATGCGGGGGCGTGCGCCTACTGGCAACATATCATACCGTAAGTGGGGAAGAGAGAGAAGGGGAAGGTGGAAGGGGGGAACGGTGGGGGGGTGGGAGGGAGGGGGGGAGGGGGGGCAAGGGGCGAAGGGAAAAGGGAGGGGCAAGGGAAACGGAAGCGGAAGCGGAAGCGGGAGGAGGGAGGTGGTGGGTGGGAGGGTGGGGAGGAGGGAAGAGGGTGGGTGGTGGTTCTACGTCGAATTTGAAACATTTCTTCCCTTTATCTATCCCTCCCCCGCACCCCTCTTTCACCCCCCCTTCCCCACATCCCCTCCCCCACAAACACTTCTTTCTCCCTGGCGTCCGCTAACCTTCGCCTCCCGTTCCTTTCCCCGCATCCTCCCCCACCCGCCCGCTCTCGCCCGCGCAGACCCAGCCCGGTGTGCGCAGGCTGCGGCATGTGCGTCATCTACCCCGCGGCGGCGGCGGCGCCCACGTGCGCCACGGCCAACATCACGGTCAAGAAAGTCATTCGCTTGAACGCCAATGTCTCCACGTAAGCACCCATAGTGGACAAGCCTCCACGCCAGTGTCACGTTCCGAGATGCATCCGAGTCTGTCGCAGGGGGTGCGATAGTTGTTCTGTTCCCGCGCCTGCGCTCTTTCACAATCCGCGATGCTCGTCGCCCTTAGTCTTGTAGCACTTAGTCTTCTCCCTCCCTTCCTTTCCATGTTTCTCCTTTCCCCCCTCGTTCAATCAACCGTCTCTTCTCCTCCCCTTGTTCCCCAATCCGCTCCCTCCCTTCCTTCTTTTGCCTTCTCCCCTGCTCTGCTCTGCTCCCCTGTCCTCTCCGCCACTGGCAGTGTCGGCACCCCCTGCGGCAGCACCAAAAACGACCCGCACTTCCGCGGCGCGCACGGCACGCGGTTCGAGTTCAACGGCGCGCCGGAGAAGTCGTACTGCCTGCTGACGGACTCGAGCCTGCACGTGAACATGAAGATGCGCGGGTACTACGACACGCGCACCATCGGCGCGTCTCTGCTGCGCAACGGGCTGGCTGTGCGCACGTGGATCCGCGAGCTGGGGGTCGTCTGGCGGGAGCCTTTCGCGGAGGGCGCGCGGATGGCGGAAGCCGCAGGGGGAACGGAGGCGGCGCAAGGAGAAGACGAAGCGGAAGAAGAGGCGGAAGGGGAACGGGAAGGCGGAAGCGGGGTAGCGGAGTTGCCTTTGGGAGGGCCGCGGCGGAAGCACACGCTACGGCTGGTGGCGAGGGACGGGAAGGGGCAGGGGCGAACGGAGGGCGGGCGACTCCTACGACTGGTGGAGCTGGATGGAAAGGCGATGCCGGAATTAGAAGTAAGTCGAGGGGGCAGTGTGCAAGTGGCCGGGGATAGGGGGGCGAGAAGGAGGGGGTGTGGGAATGGGATACTTCGGGAGGAGTGGTAAAGCGTTAGAAGAATTCGATTGTTGTGGGCGGTATAAGCAAAAAGTGCGCAGGGTATGGGATTGGTAAAGGGATATGGTGCATGGACAGATGGTTGTATGCACGAGCAAAGGGGGAACGGGTGAGGTGATGCACGGGTGGGTGTATGAAGTTGCGGATGGGGATGGGAGGATGGGAAGCATGTGAATGCACGTCACTGGAAATGCACTCTGGCTGTCATTTTCCGTTCTCGCTTTCTCGGTTCTTCCGTTTCCCCTTTGCTGCTTCTGAATTTGCTTCTTTGCACTCACCCACTGCTCTGTGCTGTTCCGTTTCTCTGCTCCTCCCTCCTTTCCCCTTGCCTTGGAATCTCGTTCTTTCCTCTCACTACAGCCTGGCCAGAGGCACTCCTTCCCTGGCTTCTCCTTCTCCTTTGAGGCCGAGGAATCAGTTGGTGAAGGCTTTTTCCAGGTCGATTCGTACCGACTCACTATAGACTCGCTTCTCGACGTCCAGATAAAGCTGCGCGTCGCACATCCCTTGCTTCAGACGACCACAGATGCGCAAGCCCATATCAACCTCCATTTCTCGCACATAAAGCCGTCACCAAGAATACATGGAGTGCTCGGGCAGACGTATAGGAGCGGAAGGGAGAGAAGGGCTATGGACTTTTCAGCCCTTGCAGTTTTATTGGGTCACCCTATTGCTGCTGAAGGGGAGGAGGGGCGAGGTTTTTTGGATGGGCGCAGTGAGGACTATGAAACTTCTGAGGTGATGAAGACTGACTGTGTGTATTCGTCCTTCGATGGACAAAACCTCCCAGCAGATATTGTCTAGGATGCATTGATTGTGGCCTGTGAATGCGTTGCTGGGGTTGGTGCTCGCTGAATGCCAGTCTGACTGACAACTATAGGAATTTATTTCTTAATTTATTTATTTGTTCATTCTTGTCAAACAAAATGTTCTTCTTTGTAACCGTTTTCTCTTGTAGCATAGTGCCCCAAAAGCATTTGCAGGTCGAATCAGTAGTAGCTATTCTATTATATATAATGAGTTACAGCTGAATCATAGGACTGGGTTACATTGCAGATTTTGATAAGGTGTTCCATCCTGTGTTTCTAATTGAAACCGAATGTTCTAGCGGTCCATTGTTTGAATCAATTGAAACTTGGCATGGCAGTCGTTGACTGAGGATCGTACAAGGGGCAGTGGGTGTGAGATCTTTCCGGTGGGGGGTTTGCATTGCATGTCGTGTTACAAGCGTATTGTTGCTCGTCCCACAGTACTGTTATACAACCGACAGATTTCGAATACCTGCCCACTTTCTATGGAATGTGTGAACTCGACTGTACGTAAATCAACAATCATCTCAATTGCTGCTTTGCGGAATGGTTGATTGATGCCTCACAGCACAACGCTCAATTATTACATGGGCTTTGGGACAAACTGCCTTAGGTATACCAGGCCGTTAAAGCCCAAAACCTGAATTACAAAAATAGGGGGCAAACTGTGCACAGTTTGCGTGTCGCGCCCCACAGTTTTGCCTGCTGTTGACTTCCATCGAGTAATTCAGGTCTTGGGCTTTAAGCTATAACATACAGAAAAGGATATCTATGACACTAGCTTCCAAGTCTATTGTTTTTTTTTTCGTATGTTCGTGACCTTGACACCAGAATGTCTGGATGTTGCAGACCCTGGCTGAGTACTGACACGTTTTTGAAGGAACCCACGCATAGTGGGGCAAAAATTCGGGTCAAAATCAAAGCCCTGGTCTAGGTTCGTGCACCCGAAATCCATCTTGTTCGGTTCTGGTGGTACTTTCTCACAAAAAAAAAACGTGCTCCAAACAAAACAATGTACTATGTTCTTCCCGCCATACAAACCTACCACAAAAATGTGTGCTCCAAAAAAGTGTTTTGTAGCAATCTCGTTTTCTGCACGCACTCTGACAGCGCGGCATAGACCACGCGACGCGGAAATGAGATCAGTCATGATTATTGGGTAAGATACAACCTAACCCTGAAACCCCTCTGAAGAGCTCCTTGAATATATTAATCAATGTTGGCGTGTTTTAGTGGTCTGTAGTCCAGTAGTTTGGTTATGGTTTAGCCATTTCATAATATTTTGCGAAAAGTGGTTTAGTACTAAAAAGCCTAAACAGCCTCCATGTCGGTATGTTACCCTCCTCTTGCGAATGTTTCCACGACGACGCCCGAAATCGTACTCGCGCTGACTAGATTTCAGCTTCCAGACCGCCCGCCACCCAACCAACCAGCAAAAGCTGCATGTGTTGCAAGTGATGCAACGTGACGGTTGACGCTGACCGCCCAACCTACCAACTGTATCTTTCCTTAGTTACTGTACACTGTGCGTAAAATATACCAGCTCACTACATGCCATGGCGTGGCGTGGCGTGGGCGTGGCCCCGTTCTCTCTGCTTGCCCAGTGCCCACGCGAGTACTCCTCGACACGACCCCCCCAACCGACCCTAGCTTCCTTGCTCTGCTCTTGCACCTTCTCAAGTGCAGCCTTCTCCCCTCTGGGAGTTCCGTTACATTCACAAATCAATTCTGTATTTCACGATCACCAACAAGCACAACCTGCTGATATTCCTCAACCCACTCAACCTCGAGCAGTCTACCTCCCATACCCACTACTCCCCCATCTAGCCACAGACCCCCCTCTCCTGAAAATGCAAGGAACGCATCGAGACGACGAGGTGCGAAGCCGAGTATAGTTGAAAGGGATAGGGAAAGAATAAACGTATAGTTGTGTCAGCGTCGCAATAGTCGTCATCGTCGTAGGCATTCTCCCAACCGAGTCTACACTAGGCATTTTTCCGTGAATGCAGGCATCTGCGCCTGCAGAGCATTTCAGCCCAACCTTTCTCTACACTCCAGCAAACCACACCACTCTGCAGCATCCCCGCCACACTCCCTTCTCTTCCTCTCAGTCACCCGTGTATTCATTCTTTCTCTTCCAGACGCCCTGCTCGTCTCAGCCCACAGGCAACCTAGTCTCTAGACGCCCTGTCGTTAGATGGCTCTTGTCGAAACTTCGCGACTCGCGCCGCAGTCAAACTCGACAACGCCCGCTGCTCCTTGCCGCCACGGATCCTCGTCCACTCTCCCCGACACTTTCCGCGAAGGTTCCCGTCCGCACGTCGCGACCGTTGCGGCTGCTACAGCCGCTGCAGGAAGTATCGCCATTACAACCGCTGTTTCCGACGCTGCTGCCGCGTCGTCTCAAGTCATGTCGCCGTCGCCGCCAGTAGGCAGCTGCAGGGATCGCACGCCGTCGCCTTGTCGCCTGGCGACGGAGTCGCACGACCCGGCGACGGAGAACCACATCCCGGACAATGCCGCCGCGGTCGCCGCCGCGACTCACGGGCATCAGCCCACGTGCGTCCCGCCTATGCACTTCGCCCTTCGCGCGTCCACGTCGGCGCCACATCCGCATGCCACGTCACACCCGGAGGGTTCGAGCGGGATCTCCGCCGCACCCAAAGGAGACCGTAGCAGCAGCAGTCCTGAGAAACGTCGCAACTCAATGTCGGGCCGCCCGCGAAACATTTCACCACTATGGTACCCTCACGGGGCCTCTTCGAGCTCGACAGCGTCTGGCGTAGCGGCAGAGGCGGCGGCAGATGTGGCGGTGAAGCGGCGGGCCAGCATCACTTTGTCCCCTTCGCCCATAGCGGTGTCTGCTCCCATTGGCGCTTCCCCCGCGCGGTCCTCCTCCGCGCGCGCGCTCTGGCACCGACGCCACCACGCGCAGGAAAGCGCGGGGGCGGAAGCGGCGGGCGACAGGAAGCTGCCGGGCATCGACTCCGCCGACAGCCCCGCGGATTCCCCTTCCTCTTCTTCCCCCTCCACCTCCGCCCGTCGTTTCCTCCGCTTGCTTTCCTCGCGAGCCGGTCTCCTCTCCCCGTCCGCCTCTTCCGGTCGTTCCGCTACCCGCGCGCCGTCCGCCGACGGCGCGTCCGCTGACATCAGCAGTCGCAGCAGCAGCACGCCGCGGGAAGGGTGGGGAAAATTAGAGGCGGTGGGGAGTTTCCGTAAAGGGTCAAGGGGCAGTGCGCGGGGGAACGAGGAGGGCGGCGGAGCGTCTGCGGGAGCATCAAGCGCAGCGTCGGGAGGAGAGGGACAGAGCACCGGACGCTGGGGCGGCAAGGGCGCGGGTGCGGGCGCCGGGGCGGGCGCGGGCGGGGGTGCGGGCGTGGGCGGATTACTCTCCCCGCTGGCCAAGGGGAGGTCCCGTAGCCCGCTGTCAATGGTTCATTATTATCACCACTCTCGCAACAGTCACATTCACGACCACGACGCCGACGCGGCGTCGCACTCCTACCAGCCCGCGTTCCTCAGTCCCCGCGACGCGAGTAACGCCGCCGCAGCCGCCGCCGCCGCCGCCGCCGCCGCTGCTGCTGCGAGCAGCGGCGGCGGCGGTAGCGCGGGGGCCAACGGGGGGATCCACAGGGGCGGGAAGATCCCCGCGCGGGGGAGCATGGTGAGCAAATCGTCCCCGCTCTCCCCTCCGCCTTCCGCCTCCGCGCCGTCCTTCTCCCTTGCGCGGCTCATGGCGCGCTCCATCTCGAACATCGAGCGCCGCTCCACGTCACTCAACGACGCGGCTGACGCGGCACTCGCGGCGGCGTCCGCCGCGGGGATTGTGGTTCCCGGGCCGCCGGGGGTTTGCGCACCTGGCGGCGCGCCAGGCGCGGTGACGGCAGGAGGAGCAGAAGTTACGGAAGGGGCGACGAGCTCTAGCGCCAACGGCGGCGGCGGCAGCAGCAGCAGCAGCGGCAGCAGTGGCTTCAGTCGCTTGCTGAGTGCCAAGAACCGTCTGAAAAGCCTCGTTATAGGGCCCTCCGTTACCACGTCTGCCACCACTTATGCAGAACACCCCCAAGTGCCTGTTCCCGCCTGCTCCTCCTCCTCCTCTTCCTCCACCTACCCCCTCGCCTCCCCCAACCCCCTCCCGCCAGCCGCGGCGTTCGCCACGTCAGCATCGCCGCGCGTGATGCACGGGCCAATCAACGGCGACTTCGCGAAGGCGTCGTTTCTTCGCCCGTCCACGCCGGACCTCCCAATCCCCTCGCTCCTCCTCCTAGACCCGGCGATCGCTTGCTCCGTCCTCTCCGCCTCGCACGAGCCGTTGCTTCTCGTAGATCAACGGTCGGCGTGCATTGTTGCTGCGAGCGCGGGCGTGGTCTCAGCTTTAGGGTTCGAGACTCCTAAAGAGCTAGTAGGTCGGTGCTTCTTCGACCTCTTGGATTACGTGAAGCACGGGGAGTGGGATAAGGCGACCGCCGCGGCAGCCGCTACGGGAACGTCCGCAGGCGCCGTTTCGTTAAGAGTGCGGTTTATAAAGAGCGACCGCAAGGGGTCTTTAGTGGGGCAGAGAGTACAGGTGGAGTTGCAGCTGCCGCCGCCCGCGGCCACCGCCGCTACAGCCGCGACAGCCGCCGCCGCCGCTGCCGCCAGCGCGTCGTCGCCGGCGGCGGCGGCGGCGGCCGCGACAGCCGCGGCGGCAGCGTCGCAGCCGCCTCTGCTGGTGTCGCTCGCGCCAGTCGCGGCGATCGAGGCGAGTCTGTCGGCCGCGTCGTCCTCTCTGGCCTCCACTCCCCACCCGCAACTCTCGGAGCACGAGCGGTTCGGTGGAGCTGCAGTGACGGGAGAAGGAGGAGGTGGTGGGGATGATGTGAGTGTGGGTGACGATTGCAGTGGTGATAATGATGGTGATGGTGGCGGGGAGGAAAGTGGAGGGTTGGACGAGCGCGGGGTGGGCAACGCGGGGGGGTTCCGCTTCTCCATGCGCCTGCGCATGAATACGGAGGACGACTGGGGGGACGATGAGAAGGACGCGGAGGGGGAAGAGGCGGAGGAGGAGGAGGAGGAGGAGGAGGAGGAGGAGGAGGAGGAGGAGGAGGAGGAGGAGGAGGAGGAGGAGGAGGAGGAGGAGGAGGAGGAGGAGGAGGAGGAGGAGGAGGAGGAGGATGGGGAGGGGGACGGGGGGAGGAGAGGCTGTGATGGTGCTGGGCGGGGAAGATTGGACGGTAGCGCGGCGTATGAGGATGATGATGATTTGGACGTGTTGGGCGGAGATGACGAGTGCGCGTGGGGGCGGGGGGGACGCGCGGATGGGTCGTCCATAGGCGGGGGAGCGGGGAGGGGCGCGCGGGGGGAGCGGGGCGGGAGAGGAGGGAGCAGCGGGGAGGAAGGGGAGGATGAGGAGGATGCGGAGGACGGGGAGGATGGGAGGTGGGAGGAGAGGAGGGAGGCGATGATATGGCATGGCGTGTCTGACGGTATGCCGTCGTTCCGCCTTCAAGCCATGGACGAGTTTCCACCAGACCGCTTCACGCCTGCTCTCGCCCCTGCCTCTGCTGCTGCTGCTGGGGAAGGAGGGAAGAGGAAGGGAGGGAAGGAGACGGGGCGGCAGGAGAAGGGGAGAGAGAGGAAGGACGGCGAGGAGAGAGCGAGGAAGGCGTCTCCTTTGAAATGGCTCAAGGCGTCTCTGGGTCATTCGCAGCAGCGGCAGGAGGAGCAGGGGGAGGAAGAGGAGGCGGAGGAGGAAGAGGAAGAGGAGGAGGTGGAGGAGGGGGGGGCGAGCAAGGGCGGTAAGGAAGGGAATGGGGAGAAGAGCGAGAAGGGAGTGGATCGGTCTGCGTCCCCCCATGCCGGGATCTTTAAGCGTATGTGGAGTATGGGGGGAGGGGCCGGGGGAGGAGAAGCAGGGGGAGTGGCAGCGCCTGGAGCAGGAGCAGGGGGGACTGGGGGAATAGGGGCTGGGGGAGGGGGAGGGGGAGGGGGAGGGGGTTTTGACGATGTGGATGTGAGCTTTTGCAGCAGTACAGGGAGCAGCAGCACGAGCGGTGCTGGTCGCACCAATAGCACTGCCGCCATCACCATCAGTTCCTCCTCTTCCTCCTCCTCCTCCTCCTGCCACACTGCCAACCACGCGAATAGCGTAGCACTGTTAAAAAACAGCAGCAGCAACAGCACAACGACATGCATGCGTGTGCACATGAACAGTCACAGCACCAAGCAGTCAAGCCATTCCCATGGCTCCCATGTGTCTGTTGTCCCACTCCCCCACCCCCACAATCGCACTGACGCCCTCTCTTCTTCCTCCTCCTCCGCCACTGCTGCTGCTGCTACACCCTCCTCTTCGTCCCCTCCCGGCACACGCATGCTCGCGAGCCTCTTAAGTCCCCGGATAGGTTCGGGACGATCCATGGGTAGGGAGTCAGCAGCAGGCACTGCCGCTGGTGCTGCTCCTGGCGGTGCCGCTGGTAGTGGAACAGCAGCAGCTGTCGGAGAGGCTGAGAGGAGCGTCAGCGTCAGCAGCAGCAGCGGCAGTGGCAGTGGCAGTGGCAGCGGCAGGGTGCCACGGACAGTGTCGGCAGGTGGGGAGGTGAGCAGGAGTGCGGCGGCCAGTGCAGGCGCGGCAGGAACCCCCAAGAGCAGCGCCAGCAGTGCCTGGGGGCTCATGGGCTGGGGTCGAGGAGGGGGAGGGGCGGGAGACATCTCTGCAGCAGCAGGGGAAGCAGGGGGAGCAGGAGGGGCAGGGGGGGCACTGGCAGCAGGAGCAGCAGTGGGAGGTGGAGGGGTGTATGAGCGGAGGGAGGAGAGGATTCCAGCTTCCCCTGTGGCTGTGGTGTCTGGTGCTGATGGGGTGGTGCGCCTGGGGAATGGGCTGGAGGGCAAGAAATGGGTCGACATGAGGGGGTATGGGGGAGATTCCAGGGCGAGTAAGACTCTGTCTGGGCCGTTGGATCGGCCGAAGCGGAGAGATGGGGTGGGTAGGGGCCGGAGAGGGGGGGTTAGGGATGAGGATGGGGTGGGGGGGATAGGTTTGGGAGGAGCGACACGTGGTGTTTCTTCTGCTGCTGCTGGTGCGGTTGAGGAGGAGGTGGATGAGGAGGTGAGGGAGGAGGAGGAGGGAGGGAGCAGGAGTGTGGTGGGTAAGGTGATGCGCCGGTCTATCACTCTAGTGGTTGGGAAGAGGGAGGGTAAGGGAAAGCAAGAGGGTAGTGAGAGGAGTGAGAGGGTTGAGAGGGGCGAGCAGGTGAAGGAGCCGAGGGAGCAGCCGGTGTGTGGCAAGGGAGGGGAGGAGGGAGGGGGAGTGGGAGTCGGGAGGAAGTTGACAGATAAGGGGACGTGGGGAGGGTGGGCGGATGAGGGGGAAAAGGATGACTGGTTCTGGTGAAAGGGGTTGGGTGAAACGGGTTGGACCAAAGGGTTGTTTGTTGCTTGTGTGAAAGGGAGTGTGTATGCCTGGCTGATCCAGTGCATGTTGTGATTTCTCAATGCCTGCACTGCGCACTGACCCGTGTGTCTGTTTGTTGTTGACCTTGACTCTCTCTGTGACTTCATGAGGTTCTTGTTTGTTCATTCCAACCGATACCGGTAGCCTTATATTGCCATGATGTGGGAATTTGGCAAAACAGTCATTGTACTCTTGCTGTACTGGCATATACTTGAGGTCTATGTATGAACATGCTAGTGTACTGTAGCTCTGTTGAAAAGACATTTCACTGCACCCTTTGTCAACTTGAAGTACGGAACCTGCCAGTTGAACTGAACTGCTTTTTGTTTGGTGCCTGCTGCCACATCAGTGACTGCTTAGGATGTGCGTTCTTCTGAATCCAAAGGCTGGTGGAATGCTGTGCTGCCTCTTACAGAAGGTTGGGGGTGTTGCGATCAGAAGCTTGATCGTCCTCAGGATCACCTCAGGAAGGTTCGCACAGTTCTAGTCTAGTGGTGGTGGGCCCTTGACCTCAATAGCAGAGTGAATGTAAATGCTTGAGATGATAAAAACATGCAGTACAAGGAATATAAATAAGAGTACAAGGGAATTCGAAACGTCCTAGCTAGCCATGTACTCTAAGGGATACATTCCCTTATTGCATCGAAATCCAACCGTGCGACTCCGGGTGGTTACGGAACTGTTCGGGCAGAATCCTCGCCACTGCTGCTGCCTGATGCTGTCTGCCCAACGGTCCAGATGCTCCTCGTAACCGTGCGTCCCTTCGCATTACTTCCGCCCTTTCGTCTTCGTCCTCGGTAGTACATGCTTCGCTTGCTACGGTGGGGAGTGTACAACAGTGTTTCAATAATCACTATTCGTAACACCCCCCTTCACTCCTGGCCGTAGCGAGTCTTGACCCGCTTGACTACCCCGCTGAGTTCGGAGCAGTGCTGGTACTGCTGACGTGACAGCTTCTTCGTGAGGAAGTCACCTGCCATGTCACCCGTTGGGCAGTAGGTTAGGTCAACCTTACCCTTGTCAACTTCGTCCTTGACGAAGAAGTACCGCAGCGCGATGTGTTTGGTGCGGTTGACGAAGCCCGGCTTGTTCGCGATCCTGGACGCGCTCTGGTTGTCGCAGTGCAGGCGAAAATTCGTCGAGGCTGGAATCTTCGCCTCTTGCAGTAGCTCCTGAAGGTAGAGGCCCTCGCGAACTGCTGCTGTTGCTGCGATGAATTCGGCCTCCGCTGATGACAGGGCAACCAGCTCCTGTTTCTGTGAATTCCAGGAGATGGGGCCGCTGGGCTCGAGACGGAAGAGGAAGCCTGTCCTGGACCGTCGATTATCTGGGTCAGCGGCGTGATCGGCGTCCACGTAGCCGATGAGGTTGAAGGATGAAGTTGGGATGGTGGAGTAGCAGAGCCCGACGCTGGGCGTGGAGATGAAGAATTGGAGCGCCCGCTGGAGATCTAGTAGATTCTCAGCCGTTGGTTTGCGAGAGTACTGAGTCAACTGGCTCGCGATGTAGGAAAGGTCGGGCCTGCAGGTAACAGATGCAAAGAGCAGGCATCCCAACTGCTGCTGGTAGGTGTGAAGCCCAGCAGGGGACAGGGCTTTGTTGTCAGGCTTGTGGTTGGGTCCTGGAGTGCGGTAAGGGGTGGAGAGTGGTGCAGGCGCAATGTTGAAGCGCTTGCTAAGCTCCTCTGCATACTTCGCTGCTGAGAGGTGAATGGCTTCCGGCGAGTAGGTGATGTTGAGCCCGAGAAAATGCTTCACGTCATGGTTGCAGGTGATGTCGACGCGCCCTGCGAGGTTTTTCTCGAATTTCTCAAGCAACTCGTTGCTTGACCCTGTGTAGAGAAGGTCGTCGACGTAGACCGTAAGTAGGATGTATTCGCCGCGGAAATCGCGGCGATACATCCCAGGATCGTGAGGCAGCTGCTTGAACCCGATTTCAAGCAGTATGTTGTGCAGGTACTGCTGCCAGAGTCTTGGCGCCTGTTTGATCCCGTAAAGGGACTTCCGCAGCTGGCAGACCCGCGAATCCCCTTCGCCGTATGTGTGCGGCTGCTCCACGTAGATCACTGCATCTACGAGCGCGTTCTTGACATCGATCTGTCGGAGTGGCAGATGTCGTGCGGCTGCGATGGCGAGGAGTATCCTGACGGAGGTGTGACGGCTCACTGGTGCAAACGTTTGATCGAAGTCGATCCCGTGCCTCTGGTCGTAGCCGCGTACTACCCAGCGCGCCTTGAAGCGCTCGATCGTCCCGTCAGCTCCGGTCTTCACGCGGAAGACCCACTTGCCGGAGAGGATCCTTCTCCCCTTCACTGCTGCACGGTCGACGAGCACCCAGGTGTCGCGTGACTCGAGTGCCCTGATCTCCGCATCCATTGCCTCGCGCCACTCCTTGCTGTGAGGTCCCGTGAGTGCTTGCCGTGGGTTTTTAGGCTCGATGATGCGCGGCGCCGTAGAGGTGGCAGCATGGAGCCCGAGAAGCTCCATTCCGGTGACGGTGCTGTCGTGGCGGTGTTGCGGGATGACCTCCTGCACATCGTCGTCGTCGCTTTCTTGTTCTGGTGGGGCTGGTGGTGCTGCTCCTGCGCTGTTTCCGCTTCCACTTCCTCCTGTTCCGCTCCCTGCTGCGCCCGCTCCTCCTTCTCCTGAATCATCGTCGTCGTCGTCGTCGTCGTGCCGATCGCCTCTCGTGAACTCGCCTCTGGGGTCCTGCTCCAGAATTGCTGCTGCGGCTTCGTCCTCAGGTGAGGCGTAGCTGTGGCCGTCGTTGGCGTAGACGCGGTTCGCGTTCGTCTGCTCGTCTTCGCGGAACTGCTGGAGAAAGAGGCGCTCGTAGAAGATGACGTCGCGCGCGCTCTTGATTTTCTGGCTCAGGAGATCCAGGATGATCCACGCCTTGTACTCGTGGCTGATCCCGAGATGGATCCCCCAGCGCGCGCGGCTTTTGAATTTGCCGATGGTTGATGTTGGCGGGCGGTACTGGACCATACACCCCCACACGCGGAGCATGGATGTGTCGCCCTTTCTCCCCGTCCACTTCACGTGCGGTGAGGAGTTGCCGGTGATCGCGGTGGTTGAAAGCAGGTTGTGCACCCGTACGGCGTGGTGCATTGCGTAGGTCCAGTAGATCGGCGGAAGCTTCGACTGCCTCATTAGTGCTCGCACCTTCGTCATGAGGGTGCGGTTCGTGCGCTCTGCTACGCCCTGCTGCTGGTGCGCGTAGGGGAGAGAGACGTGGTGCTCGATTCCCTTTTGCGCAAGGTAATCCTGCAGCTCCTTGCTCCTGAACTCCGCTGCGCCGTCGGACTGCCAGATCTTCAATTTCTCCCCGGATTGCCGCTGCGCGTGCGCCAGCCACAGGCGGAATGCTTCGTATGCTCTGTTGCGCGCTTCCACGTTTACGACCCACACGTGGCGCGTTCCAGCGTCGACGAAGGTGAGCGTGTAGAGTTCGTCGTTGATGCCGAAGTGTCCTACGTTGAGAAAGTCGCTGTAGACTTTCTCCAACTTGACGTAGCGGTTGGTTCCTGGATCGAGCAGGGGGAAGGGCTGGTGACTCAGCGCGGCTTCGGGGCAGATGGTGCAGGTGCGAAGACGCCTGCCTCGATGCAGTTCTTCGGGGTCACGCGCGAAGGGTGACCTAGGCGCTGGTGCCAGATGGCGTCGTCGGTGCGAAAACCGGAGGTGCGCATGTAGCGCGCGAGTGCCTCTGCGGGGTCTTCATCAGGTGCTTGAGCAGGTGTCGCCGCTGCTTCCTCGTTCTCTTCTTCTTCGTTCGCCGTTGTTAACATTAGCGCGAGAAATTCCCTGTCGCGAATGATGGAGTAGGGGATGTTGGTTCCGGGGATCGTGCCGAGGATGAATGTCGGCTCGCGCAGTTCAGGGGCAGGTCCGTAGACAGTGCGTGGCGGGGTGGTTGGCTCGCTACCCCAGTCAATGGTGTCCCAGGGCTCACTTCCTGGAGGGATGTCAGGTGGCGGTGGTGCTAATGCAGGGCGGCGCGGAGGGCGTCCAAGAGGAACAACAGGAGGTTCGACCTCAACTTGCGCTGTTTCTTCTTCCCCCCTTTGATCCTCGCGGAAAGCTCCCCAGCCGCTCGTCTCTCCGCCAGATGCGGCGCCCCACCCGCCAGTAGTGACGTCGGTTGCGGCTCCCCAGCCGCCTGCGTCGCCGCCAGATGTGGCTCCCCAACCGCCTGTGTCGCTTGTTCCCCATCCGCCAGCGGTGCCCCACCCCCCTTCATTGGAGGCGCTCTCTTCGTCGCCCCATCCGCTCCAGGCGAATGTGCCGCGTGACTCTGCAAGGCCTCGTCGGCGAAGTTCTTCCGCTTCGCGGCGCGCCATATCCTCCTCTTGTGCGACGGTGAGTTTTGTCGCAGGGTCGCGCTGATGAGGGTAGATTTCCAGGAATTTCTCCTGTGTGTAGGGTCGCGGATTTCCTTCCGCATCGAAGGTCCCGACGCCAACGCCGCGCAGCATTCCGCGAAGGTGTTGTGATGCAGGTCCTGGGAGGGGAGCTTCCTCTGTTCCGAAGACGATGCGCGTGGCCGTCTCGAGCTCCAGGTGAGACATCCCTTCTTCAGGCGGCGCTTCCCGCTCTGCTTCGGCGATGGCGGCAAGGCCGCGGCCGGCGATCGCGCTCGTCGAGGCTGTGGGCGTGTGACAGTCTCTGCAGATGCCGTCGGGGTCGGGGTCATGCAGCGCCGTTTCGCGCGGGTGTGGATGGTGGCACCCATGGGCGCCCATCAGGATGCTTCCAGTCGCGGTGGTGCAGGTGTTCGAAACGCAGAGGAACGAGGTCAATGAGTTCCTGCGAATCACCGCTGCAGTCGGGAATATCGAAGTCGAGAACGTACACCCCGTTCTCGGCGCGTGCTCGTCCGATCTGCTTACGTATTTTGTTTGGCATTGTGTAGTGGAGCAGAATATCGCGCGACTCGGG